GACATAATTTTGATAGAAGGTTCCCGGGTTTCGGGCTTTGCCCTTCCGATTTCAACAGTGTGAAAGTGAAAACATCAGGTTAGAAGAAGTGGCTTCAGACAGGGGGCAGGGGGCCGCGGGATTTGGGTTATTATTACTGCTACTACTACTGCTACTACTACTGCTACTACTACTACTACTACTGCTGCTACTGCTACTACTGCTACTACTACTGCTACTGTTACTACTACTGTTACTACTACTGCTACTACTATTACTGCTGCTACTGCTACTGCTACTACTACTACTGTTGCTACTACTGCTGCTACTACTGCTACTGTTACTACTACTACTACTACTACTACTACTACTACTACTACTGTTACTACTGCTACTGCTACTACTGCTGCTGCTGCTACTACTACTACTGCTACTGCTACTACTGCTGCTGCTGCTGTTACTGCTACTACTACTGCTACTGCTACTGATACTACTGCTACTGCTACTGCTACTACTACTGCTGCTACTACTACTACTACTACTACTACTACTAAAGGAGCTGAACCCTTCTTGAGGGGCCACCAATTCTGTGGTTACTCAAGAATTACCCAGCATTTTATGGAACACGGAAGTTCATTACCGTGTTCACAAGAACCCTTTATTGGTCCCTATCCTGAACCAGATCAATCCAATCTATACGATCCCATTCTGTCTCTCTAAGATCCATTTTATTATTGTCCACTCACCTACGCCTTGGTCTTCCCAGTGGTCTCTTTCCTTCTGGCTTTCCCACCAATATCCTATATGCATTCCTTTTCTCCCCCATTCGTGATGCCCTGCCCACTTCATCCTCCTTGACTTGATCATTGTAATTATACTTGGAGATTAGTACAAGTTATAAAGCTCCTCATTATACAGTTTTCTCCAACCTCCTGTCACTTCATCTCTCTTCGATCCAAATATTCTCAACATCCTGTTCTGAAACACCCTCAGTCTATGTTCTTCCCTTAATGTCAGAGACCAAGTTTCACATCCATAGAAAACCACAGACAGAAGCGTGATTTTGGTTTCCTGAATTAATGGTGAATTTGCATAGTGCGGTTGGATAATTTGTGTGCGTTTACAGCAAAGGAATTTAATTTTGAAGAATTTAAACCGCGGGGGGTTTGCATGAGAAACAACGCAGGGGGAAGTAGGAGCTTGGAACCATCTCAGCATTTGCTTAAGGACGGAGATAACGAGGAAAACCAGTGTCAAGATGGCGACTCCAGGACTCTCCGTATCCATACTGATTTCTAGCGAGCAGTCGGCACACAAAAGAGTTTCGCAGTTACGTAACGTATGCGCTATTGCTTCGTCGATAATCTGAATAACATGTCACGCATAGCAGTTCGGTTGTGACAGTTTGATTCTTATATTAAGAATATAACAACATTTATTGATGGCGTTATTTGGCGCACCCAGTGATGGGGTGGGGATAAGGAAGCACAGCAGAATAATACGCGAAAGTGAAAAGTCGTGGGAAAAGATGGACATAATTTATTATGGGTGGAGAAAGAACAGTATTTTGTTAGAAGGTCCCCCAGGCTTTGCGCATTCAATCTTTCGATACGGGTAACATGAGGGCGTAGTCATTAGAAGGGTTAAAAGTACTGGCTTCAGACAGGGACCGAGGAATTTTGATTTTTTGAATTAATGCCTAAGAGTATATAATTTGGAAACATAATTTGGTGACTTTTTGGCACAACTTGGATTTAATGTTTACGAATTTAAATCTAGAAGGCTGCACGAGTAGCGTGCAGTAGGAACTTGGAATTCGGGAACTATTTAAGAAATTCGCTTTAATATGACCTGTGTCGAGGTGGCCGGTCGCAGGACTTTCCGGATGAGTACCGACACCAAGCCAGCAGTGCGGCAAACAGTAAAATATGGGAGTTACGTAATATTTCCGTGACGTATGCGCTGCTGCTTTATTGATATTGTAGTATGTAGACCCGTTGCTAAGTAATGACTCTGTAAACAACGGCCGTTGTTAGGTAATGGCTGTAAAGAGCAACAGAGGAATGGCGTCCTGTACGTGGTCCGAGCAATAGCTACATGATGCAACAACAGAAGAGGTGTTTCCTGTGCGGTCAGTGCTGAGGCTACATATGGCGTCGATTGTACTTTAAGAGCTGAAGATGGGGCTCGACACCAAGACTTACTGACTGTCAGTCGCAAAGTGACTTTGACTTTTTAAGAGCCGATCTTTACGCTGGACCAAACTAATAGTCCAAATGGTGGCTGACGGCTGCCAAAACAGCGGGTGAAAATTTGAACATATTGTTATAGAAATTAACGGATCGCCACAAATAGTATTGTATTTGTATGTCATGTAAATTGTCGGTAACCAATGTGCTATTCTGCTTTACATATAATTCACTTGTCAGCTTATTGTATGTGACATGTAATTCATAATATTGTCACGATTTTATGGAGTGACTATAGGCGGGGTTTGGGTTGGTAACTGGATTTATTGAACACTTACAGATCATATCTACAAGTAACTATATTCTTGTCGCCAATTCACACACACGCACTGCAGTTCACTGCAGCACGTACTGTACCTACACAGTCTGCTGGGTCTTCACCAGTCGTTGTCTGCTAACGGCTTCCAATGCCGTAGGTCCCTCAGCTTCCGTGTTCGCGGCTTCACGCCATCGCTGGCTGTCGCCTATATCACTGCAGCTCTCTAGCTGAATAAATCGGCTTCCACATTTGCCCGTCATTGAACAATACGGCTGTATGAATTTGATCTGCGTACTGGAATAAGTAGCGCGTGTTACAGTGATGCAAACCACACACACAAAGATTAATATGAAATGCAGAGATTTATTGAGTTTAACTTCTGAGTACCTAGAATATGCTTGGATTTCCTGTAATATAAATTTGTAGTCTTTTATATTTATTTATGCCGATCACTGTGGCCGCGCGGTCTAAGGCATGAACCGTCTTCGCCCGCTGGAACACTGGGATCTTGAGTTCGAATCCCACTCGAGGCACGGATATCTGTGTGCGTTTATTCTTTGTTTGTGTTGTATTGTGTGTAGGTAGCGGCATTGCGACAGGCTGATCCCCCATCCAAGGAGCCCTACCGACTTTGTATAAATTAAGAAACTGAATGAAATCAGTCAAGATCCACAAGGGCTGTAGAGCCATAGCTAGATACATTTATTTATGTGCAGTTTATTTAATTACGGCGTCTGTAATAACTCCAACTGAATAATGTCTATTGGTCACATAACAGTGAATAGTGAAGGGGAGAGATTGTGGAAGGGAGTGATCATGACCTTATTCAAGGTATTATACCGAGAATTGGCTAGATGGACTGATAAAAACCACGAAAAACCTCAGGATAGTCTGTGTCCCGGCCGAGATTGTAAGTCAGAAGCTTTTCCACTTCAAGTTTGCCCAGTTTTATATGCCTGTTTATACGTATAAAGGTAATTTAACGTTCTGTCCACATCAATTGCAACAGGTTCACGAGAACGCAGATAGAGGCGCTCCTTGATGAGTTGCTGGTGTCTGCAGGTACGTTCATTGCTAGTCTTTTAGAAAAGTGAATGAAATTCTGCAACTGCTTGTACTGTATGGAAACAGAATGTTAAAGGACACGATGTTATGGGACAAAAGATTGTTCTCTCGTCAATCTCGTTTAGCGCCCTGACTGATGTGGTTACTACAAGTACGAGTAATTACAGCGGTATCGCTTATCTCAACAATTAACAAATAACTACACTCCAAGTCTTCTCCAATATGCAGTGTCTTCAAGAGCCGTTTCCTGGCAGCTGTTGTTAACAGTGGACATTCTTCAGCTTCCCGCGCTAAGGTCCTTCCTGTCCGGTGAATATCCCGCAACTGAATTCTTTAAATTCAACTAGCTACAGCGCTGTTTGTTCTCACCTCCCTTGCAGTGTTCGACTGTATTGCCAACCCTCAACTATCTAAGTCAAAGTCAAGGTCAAAGTCACATTGCGACTGACGGTCAGTCAGTCAGTAAATCTTGGTGACGATCCCCATCTGGGGCTCATGACAAGATATTTATTACTGTTCGGCAGTTAGGTCTTGTTTTTGTGGTGCACCCTCTCTAAGGACAGGACGGGTCTGTCTTTTGCATATGCTGCTGGCTCTTACCAGCGCAGTCTTCCTCGGGTCCGAGTCCTTTGGACTCGCGACCATATTTAATGTCTCAGATTTGAGACTTCCCTTTCTGTCGCCTCCTACCACTCGCATGGTCACGGTGGAGGTATTCAACTCCACCTCCACACGGGTTTCAAATATCTAACTCAGTTCCCTTCTTTATAACCGCACGGACCACATTGAAAACACCGTTCTTTTATTTTTGCATGCATATTCGTTTCCGCAGGAACGTGTTTACCGAGCCGTTGCTCAGAAGCAGCTGTTTATTTATTCGCCTATTGCAAAGCAACCGATATACACATTGTTTGTTTCGAGGAATTTGCCTAGCAACGGGCCTATACACCACAGTACTTTAAACCGGCGCTATCATATGATGCCAAAACGCACATCCTTACAAAAAGGAATGGAGCTGGAATCCAAGCAGTGGCTATGGCATCTTTATGAAGCATTAGAGGAGGGGATAAGGAATAGACTTGGCAATTAAATTTGCCTAGATTTGGATGGAATTCAGAATTCATTACTGTAGTTGGAAGAGAATGATTATGAATGTTTGGCCATGTTAGGGGAATGAATGAAGTGGGGTTACTGAGAGGGCATTGCTATTTAAATGTAAAGACTGTAGACCTATGGGATGGCCCAGAATAGGATTGTTTAGCTGTACATCGGAGTAGGAGGGAGAGGATGGAGCTGGCAAATAGTTGAATAGGAGGCTTTGTGAGAGGAAAGGAGAGGTTATGTAAGGTGGAAGCAGTGCTAGAAGACTGCACCACTGTGTTAGTTGCCAGTATTTGCCCAGTGCATTCTTAGGTGTGAAGTACTTCAAATAATTTGAAAATTTTCAGGCTGCTTGGACGGTGCTGCCACATCTGAGGAGTTCTGTGTGTGGAGTGGCAACTGTTAAGGTGGTGGCTCCAGGAGTGAGGTGAGCAGACCAAGGCATGGATGGAGGAAAGCAGCATGAGAAACCTGAACATCCCCGTGCCTCAGCCAATGTCTTCTCGGCTCTCACATTTTGGTATGTCCATTTCCCTGTTCTTGTAAGATCAGTAAGTTTGTGTGGTTGTACAACTTCTTCTTAATATAGTATCCACATAACAGTGCATCCAAACTGCTTGATTTGCCAACAGAAATGTGTGCTCATTGCAAGACATGAATCTATATGAAATGCCACGTAGTCTTTTGATTCAGCATTGTTAATTAGCAGTGCAGTCGGTAAAGCGACTGGCTAAGGGCTGGACGACTGAGGGGTCAGAATTCGAGTCCTCGTAGGATTAAAAATTTTCTCTTCTCAACTTTGGCCAGACCTCCTCTGGGGTCCGCCCCAGTTTTTGTGAGCATGTGAGAGTTGGTCGAGGCACTACGCTACAAGCCAGAAGGCCACCGCTTTGATTTCTGATGACATTATTGGATTTTTCAATTGATCTAATTCTTTCAGCCAAATTATGTCCCTGGGGTCGACTCAGCCTCTGACAGAAATGAGTACCAGGAATATCCCTTGGGGTAAAGGGCGACTGGTGCATAAGGCTGACACCCTCACCACCGTCTGTGAACCAGTTGTCTTTAAAATATGGGAGCTTTGACATCTCATAAACCTATGGGCCTCCATGGCCCGTTACAGCTTTACATTAATACCAGCCAGAAGGTCATGGGTTCGATTTCTGATGATATCATTGGATTTTTCAATTGACCTAAACCTTCCAGCCATAGTGTGGTCCTGGGGTCTACTGGGCCTCTAAAAGAAATGAGTATCAGGAATCTTCATGGGAGTTAAGGGCGGCGGGCGCATAAGGCTGACAATGGCACAGCCATCTGTGAGCCGATTGTCTAGAAAATGTGGGAGCCTCAACGTCTCACAAGCCTATGGGCCTTATTTAATGTACAAGTGTGACTGAGTGTGTGTTTGAGAGTAAAGGTTTATCATTCTCATTGCACAGTTTCAGGTTACTATAAGAAATGAACTGCTGAGTGTTGCCATGAACTTAAGTTGTGAAGTAGGTCACAAATGACTGAGCAGTTTTTTGGTTTAGTGTATAATATCTGTTCTGTGAGTGCTGATAATATTCTGATGTGTATATATGAAGTGCAGTATACACGTACTCTACAAAGAAGGTGGTTTATAATCTACTGTTTGCGTGTGTATTTGTGGCCTTAAATATAGTCCTTGACACACAATTTGATAAAGTGCTTGCTTGGAAAAGAATGAGGAAGAAAACAAGGGATGTTATTAGCATGAAAGGTTATGTAACATACACTGTAAAGTTCTGTTGAATTCAATGGGTGTTATGCTAGACTAACTTAAGCACACAATATGTGTTTGCACATAGCAGCTCCATGTTTTATAGTTTAATCATAATCAAATTATTAAACGTCATTAATTCACAAAGCTGTTAGTAACATTAAGAGTAATTTTCTAAAGTTGTGTACAGTTATATCAAATTGTGAGTCTAGTCACTCTTTTGTATGGATGAATGTTTGATATATACTTGAGAAAAGAAAAAAGAGAATTATGGGAGTAGAATATTTGGAGGTGAGAATGGTGTGGAAAGTGTCATTGTTTGCTCTTTTTCATGTAGGTTTGTTATGCTGGCCATATGAAAAGGTTGAGATGGCGTGAGCATGTAGCATGGATTGGGAAATAAAAGATGTTGACAACATTTTGTTTGGAAATCCTGATGGATAAAGACCACTTTGGAAACAAAGACAGTGATGGAGAGATAGTCTTAAAATGAAACTTAGGAAATAAAATTATAGGAATATCAGTTTTATGATTACTGGGTACAGTGTCAGGCTTTTGTGGTGTTATGAGGTTCATTTTGGTTCCAAACCAACATAGAATTTCATGAATATTGGAATACAAATTCATTACTCAGAGAATAAAATACACCATATGAGATGGATACATTAAAAAAATCAGTGATCATGAAGAAAGAGTAAACTTAATGAGTGTATATTGCGGGGACTGAATTATTTTGGATGTGCACAAGTATGGTGTGAAGAGGTAAGGTGATTATGAATATGCTACCTGTTGTAGGTGGATTCTCAGCATCTTCTGGAAGGGCTACAAACGTGACTTAGAGACTACAGACATCTCTGCACCTCTACAGGAACACAAATCAGACTATCTTGGAGATAAATTTGAAAAGTGAGTAAAGTTAACACTCACTACCGGTTATATCCATTGTTACTTAAACATAATTTCAATTACCGGTGATGGTTTACAACCTCTTTGTCACACATAACATACAGGTGATTCACTTGGAGGAGGCCCAAGATTAATAATTATAAATCACATACTGATGAAAATAAAAACTTGGTAACACTGATATACTGACTCGATGCCTGCCTTCTTGGTTAGCGCCATTTCTTTCAATTTCTCATCCTCTCCTGCTATACTGGCTGCAACATTCACAAACAGAGAACATCATTTCTATCACTTCTTCCCTTCACACCATGTTTCGGTCCCAAACGACCATCATCAGGTGTCTGAGCTATGTTAAAACTGTTCACTGTATAGAATGTACAATTTTTCACATTTCATATAACCATCATATTTCATGATTGGATGTTTCATACTGGATGTTATAATCGATAGCTTAGTTAATATCCACACACAAGGGAAGGCAATGCCATCTGCAGGTGGAGAGAACAATACAAAAGCAAGGGACAAAATGTAACCACAGCAAAGGACTTACATACAGAAAGCAACATGCTAACACCTAGGCTGCTACTGTGTAAAAATCCAAAGAGATGGTTGTCAAACTATGTTATTTGGACAAGTGTACGGCCCCTAGTAGAAGTGTAATAAAATATTTTTCAAAATATTATTGAAAAAAATAATGAATTTCAGTTTAAAGTAAATTACACCATATGTTATTTTAACTAATGTTAACTAAGTTATCGATTATAATATCCATTATTTTAAAATCATGAAATATAGCACTTATATGAGATGTGAACAAGTGGACAGTTTTAGCATAGTTGAGACAACTGATGATGGCTGTTTGGGGCCGAAACATGTTGTGAAGGGGAGGAGCAATAGAAATAGTTGCATTATTGACAGAATTATTCTATGTAAAAGATATATTAATGCAATAGGATGCTTAAATAAAATATATGGAGCATCATATTGGGATTTGTCTCCAAGATGGAGGGAAACCAGTGTCATTGTCTTCTTTAATCAGATTATCCCCACATCTACCAAGGAATTTACTCTTCAAGTTTCATTTTCATCAGTAAATTGTTGCATTATTTATAATCATTAATTCAATTCCCCTTCTGAATGAACCTCTCTGTATAGCTTCTTTATTATATAGGATACAACAACAAAGGGTAATGAACAAAAAATCCCTGTTCTTCCATGTAAATATCAGAGTGACTAAGCTGTTTATTCCAGTGTTTTTTCCACTTGTTTGACTCCTGCAGAGACAAAATTTAGACCTGAGTGTTTGCTCCCACTGACACATCTTAGCTTTCACCTCATCCTCATGTGCAGAATGTTTTCAGCTGATATAGTACAATGAGGTACAAGTTGTTAGATGATATATGTGTGCTGTGTAGTGGATCAGCAAGAGATTTTGAACAGTCTACAGGGAAATGGACAGCATTTTGGTTCATACAGAGTTTACCTGAGTTCCTGGAGAAGCTCTTTGAAGTAAATACTGCTGATGTGACGATGAGGTGAAACTGAGGTGCAGATGGGTGAAAGCACTGAGCCATGGCTATTTCTTCATGGGAATGGAACAGGTGGTGTGTCACTGGGGCAAGTACCACAAGTGACCTAGTTGTTTTAAAGAAATACAGTATGTGCCAAAATAGGCAGTACTGAAACTCGTGTATCTTGAATGCGCATGTATGTTTATCAATGGGGCATAGCTCCAGCTGCATGTGTTCCCAGTAGTGAAAAGGAAGTTTCATTGTGCAGTTGTTGTTGGAAATGGGTCTCTCGATGGAGGAAAAAGTATTCATAGTTGAGTATTATTTCAACTCATACAGAAGTGGTCGCCAGATAACTCGTTTCCATTGTTTTGAGTGGCCAGATGTTATCATCCAGAAACCACTACATAGTACACGTGTGACAATATGGTGTGCTGTCTCAGCACATGGTATATTAAGCCCCTATTTCATTGAGGATGAAGAAGGCAATGCTCTTACCGTCACCCAAGAATGCTACAGGGACATGGTGATCGGACCATTTCCTCAGGATTTGAGAAGGTTCTGTCGTGCAAGGGCCCTTCACATGAATAGACAGTGGTATCAACAGGATGTATTTTCATTTCAGTACTGTGTATTTTGGCTCATACTGTAGACGAGTTATTTGTTTTTCCTTGTTCTTTAAGCAGCAAACACACCCTCTAATGTTACTTACTCATACTGAACTTAAATTTTGCCTTTTCTGCAAGAGATTATTACATACATACATACATACATACATACATCAGCATTTCAGAATATTCATAAGTGTGTAATTGGCACTGAATATAAAACTTGTCATTCAGTTTCCACATAACCTTCCAAGATCACAGTATAAGCTTGAAGGACTAAAACCTTGTTCCAGTTTTAATGTACATTTGATAGGGGATGTTATTATCTTTTTAACTCTTTAAAGCAGAGTGGTGGATTTCAAAAGCAGATGGAATATCTGGCAGGAAATCAAAAAGGAAAGCATCAGGGAAGGTAGCAGAAATTGGACACTTCCAATCTATTGACCCATCCCTGTGGTAAAACTGGAATTATGCTAGAAAGAAAAGATTATTTAATCTGCAGATTAATTCTATTCATTATTATCATTAATTTTTATTGTAGATTTTGGAATGAGGAAGTAAAACTTGCTGCACAACGGAAGAGGAAGGCCAGTCTATTACGTGTTATTGCACGATGCTTTGGTCCCAAGATCATGGTGTATGGATTCTTTCTTTTTACAATGGAGGTTTTGTTAAGGTAGCAGTGAATACAATGAATGAATTTTTTAGGTTATGTTTTATGGTGTTTAACATTATAATGAGTACATTTATTTGTACATTTGATATACACATTGTTTAAGAAATAGGTTCTGCAGGCACATTCCAGGAGCTGTTTTGTCTTCTATGTTTAGTAGGCCTAGCCTCCTGCTCACTCCTGGTATCTCTTCTGCTCTTGTTGAACAGAATAACAAAGACTGGCTGTGACTAGCAGTCAGTCAGTGCAGATTACAGTGTAACGAAATTGTATGTAGGATCTCAACAGGGATATGTTTGGGTAGACCTCAAACTCAGGGTTACTGTTTGGCTTTTTTTGTAAAAGGGTATCACTTCAGTAAATGATTTGAGAGTTGCGTTAATGTCTTTAATACAGCACTTGTTCCTTGGAGCCAATAATATTGTACATCCAAGTACTTCATGCACTCACTGATATTAGTTTCAGAACGATTATATTTGCAATGTACTGCTAATGTTGAAATCATTATGGGACAACAGATAGGGTGTCTGCATCTGATTTGTTTTAAATGTTATCCTGGAATGTCAGGGCTGATGATGATCTGTCTATGTCAGATGTCCAATTTACCTTTCCACTGAATTTCACAAAAAGAACTCACACTGATCAGTTCAAAAGACTTAGATGAATAACAATTTTTCCTCTCAGTGGATTGGTTTTCAATCCTGTGAGTGGGAGGAGTGATGTTTAAGTCATGTGCACCAACTCATGTGACAAAATTGACTTCTTCCTCTAAACTCACTCTTCTCAGAGATGAAGTTAAAAAATAATTAGTTATGGCTCTTTGCATTTCTTAGCTTCACAGACCGACAGAGCCTAATCTTGATGCTGATCCCTTCTGAACGTGGTCAAGCCTGTCTAACTTCATTTCCTACAAAAGCTTTTAATGTGAACATTAACACGGGGACAGAAAATAGCACTGAAATAAATTGAGTAGTAAAATGTCTCTGGTAAATAACATGTGTTCAGGTAGGAGACATCTTCATTCCATAAAGTTGTTTGTTATGATTTCATTGTCACCTTATGCTGGGAGGAACTAAAAACAAGTCCCTCAAGCACCTTCTCAGTGGGATGTAAAGATTTGAAAGACAGAATCTCAAAGCATGGAATTTGGGAAGAGGCCTTAGGTACTGACTGTGTTAATTTATTAACTTTCCTGATTTGTTGCCTGGCTGTTACTGCGATGCAGCATAGAATGATCTGAACATTGATCAAGAAGCTAGCCACTAGACCTTACTTTATGTTCCATTTAATTTTGTCACATCATTGAATTGCTAAAAATTTCTTATAGGTAATAATTGGTGAAATTCTAGTATATGGAGTCAGTATGTGAAATGGTGTCTCCTCCGACCCACCATTACACCAGCAGGGCCACCCCATCACAGCTGTGATCATGTGACATATTGCAGCTGTGTGGCTAGCCCTGCAGCAGGAGGGTATGAGGTTTGTGTCCCTGTGTAATGGATGGTAATGTAATGGGCTACCAACCTTTGAACCTCATTTTGAAGCTGACCTTAGAAGGTGTGCATTCCTCAGTTTGTAAAAATAGAAGCAACAGCCTAACCATTGATGGTTTGCATTATTTTTAACAAGAAGTCATAGGAAGAACTAATCTCCTTCTTTCCTTTGATGCAACACAGACCGCAAAGAAAACCACATAACTGGGACACGCACATGAATGCACAGAGAGCAAGGAGAGCTCGTGAACCTCCTTACAAAAATTAAGGAGGGATGCATAGACAGACAGTAAGGTGATTTCATAAACCTCAAACATTTTGGGGCGGGGAGTACACAGATTAGATGGAGAGAGACAGACGGATACAAAGACAGACAGCAAGGTGATCTCATAAGCCTCCTTTTATTTTCTCAAAGTAGGGAAAGTGGACTAAAAATGAAGTTGGCATTACATTGTGTGATGTCAATAGCATACCATAGGCCAGGGGTAGATAAGCCTGGGGAGGCTCAAGAGGGACTGTGTCTGCATAATGCAGTAGAGGCCCTGAGAAAGGGGAAATCTGTGAGACAAGGAGGGAAGAGTGAGAGGATACCTGTATGAGAAGGAGGGGTCAGTGCCTCCATATACTTGGGTTTATATTGACGAGCACTGGTAGGTGTTCTGCTAGTTTCTCACAATTTGTTTGGATTGTGACAGGCTCTCTCAGCCCTTGTTACTCGGTCGGCTGGTTCGGCACTTCAGTGCAGCAGAGTCAGATGCTTCCATCACAATAGAAGAAGCATACATTTATGCAGCTGGCGTCGTGTTATGTTCGGCTCTCAATGTTATTGTAATCCATCCGTACATGATGGCGATTTTCCACATGGGCATGAAGATCCGTGTTGCATGCTGCTCACTCATTTATCGCAAGGTAAATGTCAGTAATGCCTTCAGTGAATGCAAAGCCACCTGAAACAGCAGATCCTTTCATTCTTTCTATTTCATGAATCCTCACTTTCACTTGATATTTACATTCTATTATTCACCAGTTTACTTGCATTCCCTTTTAAGCACATTTCATTACTTATTACAGTAAGTTCATTGGATCAGTGTGAATAAGGTAACTGATTAAATCAGCACTGTGCGCCTGATATATGGACCATGTTGAATTGCTACATACTACTAGAAAAACTGCACGGCTGCAGTTGGAAATTTGAATTCATCATGCTGGAATGTTATGTTCAAAGTCAATAGCACTGTTTTATCTTAATGCAAATTCATGAGAATCACCTGCTATTCTGTCAGTATGTCTTGGCTTTGGAGATCAGCAGTAAAATATTGACAGGAATATATATTGTCGCGTATCGGGCGTATATCGCGACAAATAACTTCTCGATGTATTTGATGTAGCGAATTTTATTTCACACTCGCTCTTACAATCACCCAAATTACAGATTTACGATTACTGCTATCTGCAGTATCACAAATAGTACACTCCAAATGCCAGAATACCACTGACTAGTTGCTGGCTGACTCGGCGGTAGCTCCAGGACTCACTGACTGACTCAGTACAACTCGACTCAGCGACTGTTACAGTACGACTGACAGTGAATAGCCTTCGCTGCTCCCTATGTAGCNTAAAATGAGTGGTTTTCAACCTTTTAGTGATTTATGAAACTACACAGTTTCATGCCCCAAAAAATTGAATACAGATCAGTTTTTCTTTATCAGAAACCACACTTTTAAATAACCAGTAAGAGGGCACCATTTTTAAACAAGGTTATGGAATTTTGATATTAACAGAATGTACTAAATGCATATATTTTCCACGTCTCACAGAGATACTGAACAATTACATTTATATTCTGGACTTCAGGCAGTGGGTGTGAAGAATGAATGTATTTTTTATACCAGAATGTTGAAATGTGTGTTAAGAAATGTTATATAATCATAGCAAAATTAGTATGAAGAAATGTTATATCATAACTTCATACAGCTCTTATTGTAAGCATTGAACGTTTTTCTTAGATGTCTGCTGTTGTCAGAGTTACAAGTTCATTTCTATGTCTTTAAAAGGATGCAGTTCTTGGCAATGTGTGTGATTCACCTCATCATAATACCAGTGTGTTGGTGGGGAAGTTTATTTTGATGCTTTGTCTTAGCAAGGCTCTGTGATCTATTGTGGTATTATTGGCAACCCACAGGTTGAGAAAAACCACCCTAAATAGAAAAGGAGCCAGTTTGAACATCTTACTCTTCAAAATCCATTAAAATAATACTTATAATACTTCTGATTACTTCCAAGAAGACACATTGCATTGTTACTATTGAGGTCAGAGTCAACAGTGACTTAACAACAAACTTTTGCAGTTTGTTCAGAGAATGAGGCAGTCACCAATCAAATACTGAGTTATTTGGTGTTAAGGCAAAAGGAGACATGAATACTGTTGTCCTATGAATGGCCACTTAATGCTATACTTACAGGTATGCATTTGGTCTTCTGGGCTTAAAGAATGTCTCTCCAAGGATTCTATGAAAGTCCCATGTCACTACAAATATATTCAGCACTCAGATATTTTTTTTATTTTATAAAAGATATCAGCCATCTATGTATGAATAATATTTTTCTTTGTCTTTTGTGTTTATATGAGGGCTTACCGTTTGACAGACCGTCTTATACAGAATGTCTCAAAAGAATGATCACATTTTTTTAATGTGAAAACCAACAAAGCTGCAAGATTGCAGTTTTCACCATATGACATAAAAACCCCCAAATTTTATTTATGCTACATGCTGTGCTGTGTACCAAGAGACTTTTGAAATATATAGTACATAGCTTGGATGACATTTTTGAGGCATGTGTGTGGGTCTTGAATTTTTTAGATCAAATTGAGGAAAAAATATTCTTTATCTTTTGAACATTAATTTTCATTCTCTGACTTCAAGAATTTTCTGATAGCTGCTTTCACTTTGCATATCAGGTCATGTCAGAAGGGATCAATATCATATTTACACTGTTGGAGGACAAGGTTACAGATGCACAGATTGCCATAATGAATTTGCTGTGTGAAGAACAGCAAGAAGGAAAGTAAGAGATAGAAATATGTTTGAAGGTCAGAAACCATGAGCTGCTATGGTATTGCCCAAAGTACCATTAGAATTATGAAAGAAAAACATTATTCACAGATTTATGATATCATGATAGTCTATACTAACACAAAGGCACTCAACATAAAGGTAGCAGGTTATATTAAGAAAAGAAATATTAGCGTGAAAGAGAGTAACATGTCAAAAAGATTAGGCACTGAAGTTATGGTTCACACTCTTAAGACTGTGGTGATTAAATGTGCAGAACATACAACTGTGAAGCAGCAAGAAAATACATCTCATGAGGCAGATGTACAAAGATGGAAATACAAAAACTGCAACTTGTCAGTTGTACATAAACAATTTCTTTTATGCAGATTCAAAGACAGAATGAAATATCAATCTTTTGCAACATCATTACTTAATAAAAGTCTGAAATTTTAATTCCACTGCAGGTTGATATGGAGAAACTGGTGCTCTTTATAGTGAAGGTCTTCTTTTTGGTGGAAATTACAGTCATATTTGAAGGCAGTGCAGATGGAATGGCTGTGTATTTCAGTATTTCATCCAGTTACATCATCAGTGGTAGAGGTGCATAGTCCATTGTCATAAAAATATCAGACAGTGAAAAGACTTGACTGTAATGTTGACCAGGCTGTCAAAGAGCATGAACCTACCACCATGTGTGGTAGTGAATTGATAGTACTGTATGTAGGGCACAGCTCCTTATAGGACAAGTAGTCATGTGTCTAATTAATTGATTGATGTCCAAATAAACTGATGAGGGACTGGCTATGAGTTATCTGGAACAGGATACGAAGAGGAATGTTTATGTGTGATGAATCTGAAGGTCGTACAACACTGAATGCCACATATGTTATTCATACAATGAATGCAGTGAGTGACCTTGAGATCATACCAGGAGGGATTACTTCATAATTACACATTCTTGTGAATAAGAGATTTAATGATCATTTGAAACAACTGTATTCTGAATGGCTCTTGATGGAGTACTATGTTCTGACCCCATGGTGACAATAAAGAAGCCCACTGTGAAACCTCCATGGCAGGGGATCACGACAAAGGAATCGGGCTGTACAAAGAAGACTTCATGCATGAATAGAAGTTACAGTGAGACTGTTATGAATCCACTGCCAGGAATCGACTAGTGGAAAGTGTAATAGACTGAGGACAGTAGGGAGTGTAACAGTGAACGGCAAGGTATGTAGATCAGTGATAGCTCTGTAATTGCCTATAGTTCCGAGTAGAGTGTATAACGTGCCAATAAATCTAATTCATCCAATCCAGAAGCCATCTATAAGTCAAGCATGCACCCCTACACATGACAGTATCAATAGTTTTGTAAGCTAGAACTTTGATTTAAACCATGTATCTGGTGCACCTTTTATTTATGATTGTTCTAGGGTCATATGTGAGAATGGTTCTGATGTATGAATGGCGATATTTTGCAGGCACTGCGGCTGAGCATGACAGCTTTAGGAGAGACTACCGCTGGTCAAGTGGTGAACCTGATGTCAAATGATGTGAATCGGTTTGATGTGGCAGTTGTATTCCTTCATTACTTGTGGATTGGCCCCATTGAAACTTTTGTTGTGACTTACTTCATGTGGAATGAGGTTGGACCTTCTGCTGCTATAGGTGTTGCCTCTTTGCTCCTCTTCATTCCTCTCCAAGGTGACAGCTTCAATAACATGAATTGTGTAATATTATTATACAGCCGTCAAAACAACAAATTTGTAATAAACAAATCGATATTACTGCATTAACACTTGTTTATTATGTATATTTGCCACGTGTTTCGATCCAGCTGGATTATCATCAGACAGATATTCACAAAATGTACTACTCATATGGAATTGTATTGCTGATGTGGATCCATATTAGCGGTTATAAATACACATTTCATTACAATTCTTGTTTCATTACAAATTTGAATATTAGTCTTAAAATTTATAACTCAGTTAAAAGTTTAAGAGTTGAAAATTGAATTAAAATTTTTAATTGTCTATGATGATGTGTCGCAAAGCAGTTGGGTTTTCTGGGGGTCTTTGTTGTTTTAATTATGTATGTATTGCATGTCAGTTTTCCACGTGTAAGCGGTGTATGTTCTGTTTCCTTTTTTGATGTCATGAGAGATGGTAGTGAAGTTTCTGTGTATATTGTTTTGTGTTCTGCACAGGGTACCAAGTCTTCTTGTTATTAGTCAGTGGTTGTTCCTTCTGTGGTTCTGTGTTGACGGTTGTATAATAATACTGTATAGTAATGTACAACAGGATCCAAATAATATAGGTAACATTAATTGTGTTACTTTAAGAAATCAAAAATTTTAAGTGGCTCTCTGCTGCCCTAATGTTACATTTGAATGTTAGCAAGTCCCTGCTGTGGGACTGTTAATCTTATTTTTATATCTTCTTTGGTGTCTATACATCCACTTCTCCATATGCCTTCATTGTATAGTGCTTAATTAGTTAAGGACAGAGACCACTTCACCTTTAGATTTACCTTTGGTATCTCGCAATAAATAAAATGCATTCTTTGGTGAGAGAAAGCCAGTGAAGAGCAAAGGCTGTCATTTGTTGCTACTGGTATAAACTTGGGGAGGGGAAGCTGCAGTTCAGAAACTTCCAGTTACCAGTTAAGCATCCAGACTGCTACTATGAAGGACAGTCAAATGAATATGGGTCAAAAGCCAAAACATATTAAAGAACATTTCTTACCTCAAAAGTAATCTCCAAAACTGTTAATACATTTATCCCACTGGGAGATAAGACGGTCAGTCCCATCCTTGCAAAAGCTTGTGGGCTGTCAGCAGAACCACATCTTTACCCAGCCACACACGTCTTCATCTGATGCAAACCGATGTCCATGAATGTCTCTCTTAAGGTCTCCAAAAATGTGAAAATCACATGGGGAGAGATCTGGGCTGTAGGTGGGATGTTGAAACACTTCCCAACCAAATCTCTGTAGCATATTCCTCACAGAGTTAGCAGTGTGGTGTCGTGACCCAAGATTTTGGCAGGTCGACTGAATCATGTTGGCCGAGCGGTAGCGTAATAATTCAGTGATGGTGATGGTCAGTTGGCTGCTGGAGCGGGTATTCCAACCACAAAGAGCAAATACTCACTACAGATAATAGAGGATTTATTGATTCTTAGTGTATATTACATACAAGGGCTGGTGGACGTAAGCCTGGCCAGCCTTCTCATAGCCCCGACCCAGACAAAATGCACCCTTCAACCTCCCTCTTCTTCTTAAAACCTATCTAAAACTAAACTTGCAGACCAATGTCCCGAGACATGAACCCTCACGCAGATCAGATTACACCAGCTGTTGGTGAAGGACAGGTCCCAGACGAAAACACTCCAGGACTCCACTAATTTATGGAATGGCAGGGGTAGATATAACATTTTTTCTTTGAGGAAGCAGGTCAACCTCTTGGCGTGCTGTAAATTTAGTAGAGGGCATGACCCCAGACAACAGACTCAAGTTCCTAAATTTAAAAAACGTAAAAAGGGTTGCGAACCCTGCAACAGTGGGGGCGTGCATTATCATGAAGAAGGATAATGCCATTCGATAGCGTTCCAGAGCGTTTTGACTTTATGGCAATTTCAGTTTCTGCAAAGTGTCTTCACAGCCCTGTGCACTGATTGTGGCCCCATGCTTGAGAAATTCGACAAGCAAAAGGGCCCTTGCAGTCAAAGAAGAATGTCATCACTTTACCAGAACTTGTGTGTACGGCTTTGGATTTCTTCAGTGGGAGAGAATTCATGTGTTTCCACTGTTGGCTCTGCTGTTTACTCTCAGGTTGAAAATGGTGGCACCAAGTTTCGTCCCCAGTGGCATTACGGGATAGAAAAGCGTACTCTTCCTCATGGTATTGTTGCAAGTGACCAAGTGATGCAGCCATTCTCTGAGTCTTCTGTTCCTCTGTTAGTTGATGTGGAACCCACTGTGCACAGATTTTGCAGTACAGCAGGTGTTTTGTCACAATGGCATGTATGGAACCGTGACCTATTCCCATCAAAAGACTAATTTCTTCCACAGTGATCCATCGGTTTGCCTGGATATGACCACCCAACACAGCAGTAACATCAGGAGTGATGACATGATGAGCCTGTCCTGGGCGAGCATCATCTTGCAGTGACACATGTCCCTCTCGGAATCTCTTATGCCACGCCAGCACACGCGAACATGACATGTTGTGTTTGCCGTAAACAACAGACATGCGACAATTAATTTCTCGTCCTCCTACTCCTTCATTAGTAAAAAAGTGCACTACACTAAGCTGTTCTTCTTTACCCACCTCCATTACTGATGTTGGACAACCACACATAGTGCTAACCCTACTTCCAGTATAATAAACAAACGAGTAGTGTGCAAGGGCACATTGTCACTGTGCTTTCCCGAGTCCCCACCATATGTTTGTACCGTAAGCAAATTCCCGTGATACCAACTTGCACGCCGTGTGAGTTATGAGTGGTGACTCGTTTTCATTTGACTGCCCCTTATAGATCTGTTATGTATCCCCATTCTTGCTGTGGGTTCAATGATCCTTGACCATTTTAAACATGTGACACCAAAGATCTGTATCCTATGCCTAGCCTGAACTGGTAGGTGGAATTTTGCTCCTGTTCATATTTGCTACACATTTTTCTCTGCAGAGGTCCCATAACATGTGTACACTGGGTTAGTCTGCAGACTTTGAATGGACTACACGGGGTTATATCCCAGAAGATAGAACTCTTCAAAATAACATGTGATATAAACAATAACAGCATCTAGGCGACATTTAACCCAATTAAAAATAATAACAATAAGAAACTAAGTATTATCCTGGCATTTTACATGTCACATATTTTGAACAGGGCATCAGGCATCTCAGTTTTTCCTCAGCAGCTTGTTTGACCATCTGAATTGTAACAATCTCCTTTGAAAAAAATCATCACCTGACCTGAAGCATTTCTTTGTCCCACAGTGGTGATGATTTACCCACATTTGAGTGCAATCAGATGAAAATTCCTTGAACCACATTTGGTGTACACATTTTGCAGATGAGGAAGCATGAGCCTGCATCAGTTTTCATCCATATTATAGACAAACTCAAGTTTCTTTTTTAAGCCATTTTCAACCACAGTTTGATGCAGTTTCTCAAAGCGAACTGTTACAATGATCCTATTTAGATTCATAGCTCTTTTTGGGTTCGTATTTTGTGCTATACCCATGAGTATTAGTATGAGTATGAGGGGTGAGCCATAAAACTGGCCCTAGCACTGTGACCTTCAATGGTCTATTGTGCTTCCCCCTTTGGGTTATCCTTTTATTTATCCTACACTTTGAATGAAATGTAGGACTTTGTTTACGGGGGCATCATAAAAGTCACTTGGTTCCATGAAGAATTGACTCAGGTGGTGATATCTTAAATAAGCTATAGCCTCACAATCACATAAGATGTGTGTGGCTGATTCTTCATCTTGTAGGCACCTCTCACAAGTTGGGTCCTCTGTCAGTCCCAGTTTGGAAAGGTGTCCTTTTAGGTGGCAGTATCCAGTAAGTAATCCTACCACCCATCTGAGTTGAAATCTGTTTAATTTCAACAGGTCCCTTGATCTTTTGGCAGAGGGTCCTGATATAAATCCTTTTTCCTGTTTGTGCTGTACCCATAATATAATTGCTGCTTCCTGTTCTGCAGGCATTAAAATCATGTCATGATAGACAATCTTCTTCCTTTAATAAGAAGAAATTTCAAGACATGTACCACTGGTTCTAGTTTTAACAAAAAGCTTTTATAACTTTACTTTTAAATATTTGACTCTGTAAATAAATTAGTTATAGTAACTCACAAAGTTCCAATCATTTTATGTACTTAATGCTCTTACAAGGTATAATTTTTATATATTAATTATATTGTAATAGTGGTTTCCTAAAAGTTGATTATGTCCTTCTGAAGATGGTCAATTCGACCAAAACATATTAAAGACAATGAAAAATTTGAACACAGTCTTTATTAATCAGTCACACAGGACAGCGCTGAGTTATTTTATACTGTTGCTAGTTTGACAGACCAGGAGGAGCCAAGTCAAATTTTGTGGCCATGTTAAAAACTTAGTGTTGCTGAGTCACCCTCCCATATATATCAATTTGAAACTGTGTGTAACACAAGTGTTCTTTCTTATAAACTGAAATGACCTGTGTTTGTCAAGTCATGGCTTCTGGGCTGCCAGGTTTAAACTAGCAGTTAGATTCCCAACAGTCACTTTGTTGTAATCTATAGAGATGTAGTTTAGGAAATTAAATATAGTGTGATTTCCACAAAGGGATAACAAGTAGAATGTGAGATAGATTGTACTGTGCAGTGTATATTTATGGACGACTGTTTGCAGGTTTCCTTGGAAAGAAAACATCTGAGTATCGCCTGAAAACTGCAATTCGAACAGATGAACGTGTGCGGCTGATGAACGAGATCATCTCAGGAATACAAGTCATCAAGATGTACACATGGGAGATACCATTTGCCAAACTTGTCAACAGTACTCGCAAGTAAGCTATTTCTATTGCATGAAAATAAATTAAGCTGCATGCTGACCAAAAAGGATATTAGTGAAGGCTGAAGGACCACACTATGAAGGTGTATAAAGGTGTACAGATTCAAAATGCACACACTTGGCTTTTGGCACTAGTGAAGATGGCTGCTTTACCCGTGGTACCCACTCAATACAAAGCTGATGCTTGGTTAAAATCTTGTCCAGGACACCTACTATCCAGAGTGAGGGTTTCATGGTTTTTATCAGTCCCTCCAAGAAACTAATGACTCCTTCCTCCCAAATCATATCCTATCTTCAGTGCTATATAGTTTCTGTACTAACAACCCCACAAAGACAAAGAAGCTGATGAGTCTCAGAACTGTCTTGAATATGGCAACAAATAATATCAAATGTTGCTCATAGAGCCCACAGTCTGTTTTATTTTTTTATGTAATTTATTTTAAACACTGTTTTGCAAAAGTATGTGTTAGACGTGTGAACGAAGTAAAGAGAGATTATGTGTTTGTTGATGGGATTCAACCTCTGGCAATGGTGTTGGCAAACTCTTTCCATTGCAGTGTCTACAGCAGTTCTATTGCCACCATATCCCGTCAGTGCTGCCACCAATTCCATGAGGGAAAAGTGGGCACAGTATGAAAGCGAATGTTTGTACCCAGTTTGAGAATTCAGAGTACCATCCAAGCATCTTTCATATGAATACATGGCATAGTGTTAGGCATCTTATTTTCAGGGGTGTCCACAACTTTTGTATAACAGCCCTATCAGTATCCAACAGATATATTTAATTATGTTTATAGGCCTTCGTATGAAGTAGGAAGCCATATTCCTGAATTCTTTAAACATTTTATAAGGTTCCTTGTATGAGTGATCAGCCCAGATTGTGCTGTCATCGTGACTATCTCAAGAATTAGGTTGGTTCATAACATTTAATATGGTATCTGAATGTAATTTAATTATAGTTTAAAGCAAAGCAGATAGATTTTACTTACATTATACAGTTACCTGTTAACTAGTTCTGTGATGCAGGAAGTTGCTCAACTGGTCTAGAAATTCACCACCTTTTTGGAACCTGAGGGTGTATTACTATGTTTACAAAAATCTTTCATTGGACTCCATCATGAATCAGTTCAAACCATTCATTCATTTAGTATTTATCCTATAGATCTAATGCATTGATATATGACATGCCACTCTATATGACACAGTTATCAAAATACGTGAACGATGCTATCTGAAAGTTCACAGACTACGTCAAAAATGAAATGCTGGCTTAACTTGCTCAATTTTGGTTGCCATCTCCTTCAAAACAGTCTCCTTGGGAATGTCTACAGTGATCCCATCATTTTCTCCACATTTCAAAAGCACCATGGAAGTTATTTTCCTTAATGGTGTTGAGTACCACTTGTGATTCCCGACACTTTTTCAAAACATCATCCCTTCAGTTTCATTTTCAATTTGGGAAACAAAGTGAAATCACAGGGGGCTAGGTCTGGCAAGTAGGGAGGATGGAGAACAATAACCATGTTGTTAGTCAAAAGCTCTGTGGTTTTCAAGGACATGTGGGCAGACACATTGTCATGATGAAGGAACCAGTTGTGTTTGTACCAAAGTTCAAGTCTTCTTTGTTGCACATTTTCTCTCAAGCATCTCAAAATATAAGTGCAGAAGTCAGAGTTGACCATAATGTTAGAAGGAACAAATTCACGGTGATCAGTCCCCTTCACATAAAAAAAAACAATGAGCATGCTCTATGTTAAACTCAGACCTCTCACTCCTTTCTTGCTCTTGGTTGATGGTGGGCTATTCCACTGCGATGATTGTTGTTTAGATTGTGAATCATACCCATAAATCCAACTTTCATCACCTGTTATGAGTATGATCCTAGAGATAAAAGTTGGGTCCCTGTTAGCCTTCTCTCATAGCTCAAGGCACACGTTTATGCACCACTTCTTTTGATAATTTGTCGAGAGTCGGGGAACAAACTTAGCAGCCATGTGTGCATGTTCAAATTTTCTTTTAAGATCTCCTGGCAAACTCCATAACTGATCCAAATGGTGTCTGCAAAGTCATGGATTGTTCAGTGACAGTCTTCATGGATTAGTTCTTGAATTTTTTCAGCATTTTCTGTCGTTTTGCTGGTGCTTGGTCACCATAAATGTTCATCATTTTCAACTGATACTTGGATGGCTTTGAAACGTGAATACCATTCGAAAACCACTGTCCAGCTTGAAGAATGTCCTCTGAAAGCCTAGTGAAGCATTTCAAGGGTTTTGGTAGTGGATTTACCAAGATTCCTGCAAAACTTGATGCAGACACATTGCTCAGTTTTGCCATTCATCGCAGACAAAACAAAACACAAAGTCGAAAAAGCACTCGTATAAAAACAGTGTGTGCTCACAGCATGGTGTTATGTGGCAGACTGATGCATTAGGCTTTTGGGTGTGTGACCTTGGTCTCCTCTCTCATCTTTCACCAAGGCAGTTATGACAATAACAGTCCGAGAACTTTCCAATAGCACCTCATAAATATAAAAATATTAGAAAAAATATTGTTTGCATCTGCTTATCAGTTGCCCATATTTGGGAATTCTTCAATGAGATAATCTTCTGTTGAATAATAACATCCCTTAGAAAGTAGGCCGTGCAGTTCCTTTTCAGAGTGAGTTTATTTTATGTTGTTAGGCAGTTAGTTATAAAAGATACAACTAGCTCTTGATGGTTTACTGTTATAAAGTTCTGAATTATGTACATATCTATGATAGTCATTTTTGTGATAGACATTTGTCTTCAATCATTGCACTCTGTAACACACAAGGGAAATTAGAATTGAATTCCATCAAGTACAGCAATGATCGTAATAATGAAATAGAGTCTTTACATGTTTTGGCCAATCAGGATGGTGACCAACACTTTTATAAGTAATTGAATTTTCCAGTTGATTGAAATCTTGCTGTGAAGTCTGGTGATGGTCATTTTCCTTCATGTTAGGTTGTCTGCAAATAGAATAAATTTCTCAGTTCTATTGTGGGAGCCTCTGACAGTGAAGCAAGCCCTATCCAATTGTTGCTCACAATGGCATCTCCAATGCCCATTGGTTCACATGCCGCCTAGTGACAAAAGTATAATAATCCGGACCTCCAGCACACTAGCATCAGTCACAGCTATGCTTGCATGAAAAGAACAATGCAANCGGCCAATCAGGATGGTGACCAACACTTTTAAAAGTAATTGAATTTTCCAATTGATTAAAATCTTGCTGTGAAGTCTGGTGATGGTCATTTTCCTTCACGTTAGGTTGTCTGCAAATATAATAAATTTCTCAGTTCTATTGTGGGAGCCTCTGACAGTGAAGCAAGCCCTATCCAATTGTTGCTCACAATGGCATCTCCAATGCCCATTGGTTCACATGCCGCCTAGTGACAAAAGTATAATAATCCGGACCTCCAGCACACTAGCATCAGTCACAGCTATGCTTGCATGAAAAGAACAATGCAACAGTGAGTCTACCTACTAGTAGCACTGCAACCAACTCTGCCAGCAATCTCCCAGCATCACCAGGCCAGCCAGCTATGGCAGGAGCTTTGCTGGCCAGCCAGCCTTGCCGCAACTAGTACTGGCTAGCCCGCTACTGCAAGACCTTCTCCCGGCATCCTGCCAGCTTGCCAGCAGTGAGCTGCTGCTAGGAAGAATGCCGACACAAGTGCTGGCTAGTCTGCTGTGATGAGAGCTTTGCCCAGCATCCATCAGGTGTGCCCAGCTTCCGATAAAGAGCCCTTTCCAGGGACAATGATATCACTGCTGTCACTAGCTCAGGCTAGCCAGGGAGTGTTTGCCAGTATTCATCAGGCATGCTCTGCTTCCCTCTTCATCTGTAATATTCATTCTAATAGTAATAAACATTTCTTATAGTTTGATTTGCTTGTGTCTCTGTGCCACCGGATTCGACATCCCACACTATGTTTGCTCTTATTTTCATATACATGTTTCTTGTGTATGCATGCACATGCACATAATATTGGTATTTTTTATTTTACTTTTATGATAGTCATTGTGTCTTGTGTTTTTTGTATGTACTTGTTTATTTGCAGTGCAGTTACACTTTTCTTTTGCATATAATATTGTTTCTTGAATGTATAATGAGCATTCTGTTAATGTCTTTAGATGCCTAGAACTATCTTTGCATGATTTCAATTGTTTTAGCCCTGCAGTGTGCCTTATAGCCCTTTTCTGAAGGGTAAATATTCATCCAGTGAGTACCTTAACACTCTGTCTCCATACAGTGATTCCATAATACAACATTGTTCTTCATTCATTCATTTTATTTTTCTTCGAGTAATCCATAACAGTGATCATCACCTAGGATATAGAAGATGTCCACATACAATAAAATAAGATACAGTAGTGGCCGTACAACAAGCAGCCTTGTCAGTTGGTAATACAGTAATACAAAGACATTACACCCTATTCAGTAATACAATAATACATTAATATGATTCATTACATTCATATCAAGTATTTTAGATAGTCTACTAATTATAAATGGGTTATGGCTAATTCTACTGCAAGTTGTATCAATATGTACTTCACAACTCAGGTTACTATCAAATATAACCCCCAGGAAATAGTAATTTTTACTTTGCCTATTTTATTATTCTTTATTAGACTTTTTAATTTACTTCCCTGCCTACTTTGTTTTGTCTAGAAGAGGAATTAGTATCCTTTGTTCAAATTTATAAATTATTTGTTTCAAAATATTGCTCTACTAAGCCTGTATTATCTGAGGTTTGTCTTTTGGAGTTCATGAAAAAATGGAATATTATAAGAAATGTATTGCATAAATCCACCAAAGACAATTATATGCCGGTTACGTTTAAAATGGATAATAGGAACATTCAATCTAAAGATGTAGCTGATGCTTTCAACGAGTATTTTTTTAATATTTCTCATAGTCTGCAAACACATCCAGATAGAACTAATTCTCCTCTTAAATTATTAAAGAACACTTATAAGCCTATTTTTCAGAGTATGAAAGTAATTCCTGTAACCAAAGGAGAAATTATCAATATAATTTGTTCTTTAAAATCAAAGAAGTCCTCTGGTTATGATGGGATTTCATCTAAAGTATTAAAACTTTGTAGCGTCTTTATAAGTGCTCCCCTTTCCTACATCTGTGCATCTACTGGTGCATTTCCTGAACGCTTGAAGTATGCTGTTATAAAGACCTTGTATAAGAAAGGAGATGAGGTTGATATTACAAACTATAGTCCTATTTCTATGTTGACTGTATTTAGTAAAGTTATGGAAAAAGTTATGCAGTGTAGATTGAGTCAGCATCTACAAGTCAATAATATTTTGGTGCAGGAACAATTTGGCTATAGGAAAAAATCTCAACAGATCATGCTGCTTTTTCTTTTATGACTGGCATTCTTCAGGCCTGGAATGACTGCAAACTACAGGGATTTTTTGTGACCTTGCTAAGGCTTTTGACTGTGTTAATTATGAGATATTGACATCTAAACTAGAGTATTATGGTGTCTGATGTTGTATAATAAACTGGTTCAAATCATATATATTGGATAGAAAACAGAGAGTGTACATTAAAGCTAATGATGATCAGGAATATTTTTCATCTTGGGAAAGATATAAGCAAGGGGTTCCTCAGGGGTCGGTTTTGGGACCACTTCTATTTATTATTTACATTAATGATTTGCCTCCATATATTAATAAACTGGCTAAAGTTTTTCTTTTTGCTTATGATACGAGTATTTTGGTTACTGGTAATAATCATGCTGAGCTTAAGCATAAAGTCGTGGGTACACTGTCTCTTTTTGTAAATTGGTTCACAGCTAATAAGTTGGCCTTAAATATCACTAAAACTAATATTATTAGATTTGCTCTAAAACAGTCTTATAACTCTCTGGCACTTGCTAGTGGGAATTTGTTTATGAATGAAGTTCCTGTGATAAAATTTTTGGGTCCGCAAATTGATAAGAATTTGGATTGGAAGAGTCATGTANTTATGAATGGTGTATTTTTCTTATTTCCACTCTATTCTTGAGTATGGAACAAATATTGTACCGATTTCTTAACAATGAACTGATCTCTCTGGCTGTAGTGGTTTTATTGCAAGTACCCCTAGCTGATCTTATTAGGGAAAGGGTTTATCTGTAGGATTTTAGAAAGGAGAAAAAAAGCTAAATATTATGAATTATGTAATGTGTGTTGCATCTCTTAAACTACTACAATGTTTATTTAAGCTTGGCACTCCACTTTCTTATGTTACAGGAATGAGGTTCGTGCAATAAGAGCAACATCTTATATTAGGGGCATAGCTCTGTCATTCATTATATTCACTACTCGAATTTCAATATTCATCACCATCCTGTCTTATGTGTTGTTTGGATATCAGATCAGAGCTGACAAGGTAAAGCCCATAATCACTTATTGTTTTAAATAATTGTACCAGGTTAATTACAAATTGAATGTTTGTGATACAATATTGTCTGTTGTACAAAACCTTACAGAATGCTGACTTCTAATTATTTTCTGTTCATTTCATAATAGAAGTAACATATTCTTTGTCCAGGATGTGGTTGCTTTTCTTGTTATTGTTACCATATGTAGTAGCTAAACTTTTAAAAACATAACACCCAAATTTAGAAACTAAAATATCCTGATGTAGGCCTAATAAGGGGGGGGGGAGAAATTGGGAATAAGGATTGAGATCACATCCAAAAACTCTACAGCAATATTTGCACAGTTCAACCTATAAAGGCCAAATGGCAACTTTAGTTGTCACTGAAAGTAATGGCCCAGTGGTGGAATGACAACTACAGTTGTCAAGGAACAGTGCATTGCATCATGTAACAGAGTCTGTAGGTTTTTATACATTTACAAGCCAAAAGAACTGATTTCATTACAACCCTTCATAAACACTTCTTTTACCATAGAGCCCTTGGTTTATTTTATTCTTGTAACCCAAACTTGACAAATTCTGAGAATTCATGCCTGATCTCTAGAACAAACTAATGGTTTTATTGCACTGCAAGCGGCTTTGGGAATAAAATTGAATTAAGTAAGAGATTGCTGTGAAATGAGGCCCAGCTGAAAGAGAGAAACCAACAATTTGTGGCAGTACTCAGTATTTCCCGCTGTGTGGTTGCCTGTGGCCATGCCTTTTAAAGGTGCATGTATCAGTGACATGGCAGGAGGAAGGAAGTTATACATAGATCCATAAGAGGAACTATCTGTTGATGATGAGTGTGACAATTTCCCATGCCATCAGTAGCCCTTCTCTAATTCTGAAGACAACAGAAATTAGCAGGAAGAAGAGTGCAAAATTGGTGCATGCAGACCAGAAGCAACAGAAATGTATATGCTGAGCTCCCGTTCACATGTCTCACAGCTGGAGTCTCAATCCCAAATACTATATGTAATTCCACACCATACAAACTGTTGTAACTATTTCTTATAAATTTTCTGCTGATGACACTTGTTCAAGCAGCCATCAGTTGCTTTCATCAGTATGATGCTGCTAAATGTGATGGAAACCCAACACCTAATGAAGGAATCATTGGATGTGCTGGAACGTGTAATAAATACAATACAATACAAAATGTTCTGCTTTCTTACTTCTATTCGAAAGGTACGCCATGTCCAGTGTGATAGCTTGAAGCGGCCTGGTTTCAGAAACCAGGGTGCCACACACCCTTGCATCCCGGTGTGTCATGTGGCATGATAGATTTTTTCGCATCTATGTTTTGGAAGTGAGGTGTTCCCAACAGGAATAGAGAACATTAAGACAGATATCACTGAAGTATATGATCCTTGCAATATATGCAGTTGTAAAATTACAAGGCAAAATGGTTTTCTGCAAGTTTATTCCAAAAAAACAAGAAATGACATGGCAAAAAATTAACACAAATTATGTGACTCGCTGATGCATACTCACAATATGAATGAATGAATTTTTATATATTGTTTAGATAACTTGAGGTTTAAAAGGGATAATGAGGCTGTATTCTGTTTAAATAGAGGTTAGTAATATGTAAGTTTTGAGGTTTTCACGGCGATGACAATGAAGAAAGTTGTCTTCTGGGTTTAGGCACCGCGTATTCTTCGTTTTGGCCGACGTTTCGGT